TGACTGATTTGTGATTTCTTATTCATTTTTATTTTGGACAGTTTATTGTTATATTCACTTAAGATTGTAAATAACCTATTAACAGTGTGAAATCTATTAAATTCATGCGATGTATTCATTCAGAAATATTTCTTTAAAAATCACTCTTCTACATCTTATATCTTTCCATTTCAATATTTGTCTACAATTTTTAATATATGTAATTATTGCTTTTCAATAAAGTTTAAAAAATTTTTAAAAAGAAAGAAGACTGAAAGAACCTATGGCAACTTCTCATGTGAGCTCTTTTCCCTGATCCTGATGGGATCATCCCTTATCAGGATGCCCACATCCTCCCAACCACCTTCCTCAATGCACTCTTGACCTCCTTGTTCCTCAGGCTGTAGATCAGGGGATTCAGCATGGGGATCACTGTGGTGTAGAACACAGAAGACACTTTCTCCTGGTCCATAGTATTGCTGGAAGGGGGTTTGAAATACATGAATGTTATAGACCCAAAAAAGATGCCTACAGCCATGAGATGGGAACTACAAGTGCCAAAGGCTTTGGACCATCCTTCAGTGGAGCAAATACGGAGGATGCTGGAGAGGATGAATCCATAGGAGATGAGGACAGCGAGTGTAGGTGCTAAGGTATTAACTCCTCCAGTAATAAATAGCAGTTTCTCATTAATGTGAGTACTGGAGCAAGACAGAGTCAAGAAGGGCAGAATGTCACAAAAATAATGGCTGATGATGTGAGACCCACAGAAGGACAGCATTGACATACGGGTGGTGTGGACTATGGCCCCAAACAAACCCAGTGAGTATACCACAGCTATCATTATGGAGCAGACCCTATGAGACATGACAATATTGTAAAGCAGGGGGCTGCAGATAGCAACGTAACGGTCATAGGCCATGGCTGTCAGCAGGTAGCCTTCCGCAATGGCAAAAGTAAGGAAGAAGTAGAGCTGCATCATGCACTCCAGAAAAGAGATAATGTTCCTTTCTGACAGAAAGTTCACCAGCATTTTAGGGGTAATGACTGAGGAGTAGAACAGATAGATGAAGGACAAGTGACTGAGAAAAAAGTACATTGGAGAGTGAAGTTGAGAACTGATGGCAATTAAGAGGATCATGCCCAGGTTGCCCACCACCGTGACCACGTAGATCCCAAGGAATAAGAGGAAGAGTGGCAGTTGAAGCTCTGGATGTTTGGTTAACCCTTCAAGGATGAAATCAGTCACTGAAGAATGATTTGCAGCAGCCATCTCTTACAAAATATTATCTTTAGGAAGAATATGAGAGGGAAATATTAGACATATTTTATAATTCCCAAAACAAAACATTCCTTTAGACTGTTTCCTTCTTTGACAGTTTTATGTGTACCATGACTTTGTTCCTTTCCAAGAACATCTTAAAAATTCAAAGACTGTGAGGGAAACCCAGAGCCTTTGCTCCACCCAAACCCAAATATTTGAATGTTCCCAATTTAGGCAGTGGCTTTTCCTTTTGTAGCTTCCTTCTGAGGTGTGCTAAGTGATTCATTTTGAGAAAAAAACACAAACTTCAGAGACTTTTGGGGAGCTGGTCAACATCCCCAACTGCTTGTATGAGGGATAGAGCAAAGAATGAAATGGAAGTCAAGACAATATAGAAATGCATAGAGGGGCTGAAAGGTCTGTTCTTCAGGATGGGAAAAGGCAAAGAGATCCTTGTCTGGCCCACATTACATTTTTTTCAGTGAGAAGTACAGAGAGAGAGAGAGAGAGAGAGAGAGAGAGAGAGAGAGAGAGAGAGAGAGAGAGAGAGAGAGAGAGATTGAGAGAGAGTTAACATACCTTTCCTTGACAGGGACAGAATGATAGACAAGTTTAATTTCACAAAAAAACGTTAAGGTCCTTTCCCACAACTGGGTGCTGGCCATCCCTGTATGTCCTCAGAAGACCTCATCCTGCTCTGTGAGCAACTTATTTTCATTGAGCACTAAGGTCTCAGCAGTGGCCTGGAGAAAACCGGGGGCGGGGGGGAGGGGGGAGGGCTTTCCATGTTCCAAACCAGCTCTTAAGGTAAGGAAAACATGGGCTTTGAACAGATCCTAATCACAATTTATAATCTGTGGTCCCCAACACTTTCCTCTTTCTGCTTATTTGACTAGAGATTGAATCAGAGTGACCTATCACAGTAGAGCCTCTAGACATTGATGAGTTTGAATTCTTCTGCAGCAGACAGAATAAAACGAGCAGACATAAACAAATCACTATGAGCATAGCAACATAAAACCAGAAGTTTGCCTTGAGATATTTAAATAGATATAGTTAGTCAAGGGATTCAGAAAATGTATCCCAGTCTTGTATTTATTTATCAAAATTATGAGCTTGTTATGCATAGACAATATTTCCTTTCTTTCTTTTTCTTTCTTTCTTTCTTTTTTTTTTTTTTTTCAGAAGTGGGGATTGAACTCAGGCCCTTCCACTTGCCAGGCAAGCACTTATTATACTGAGCGCTCTCACCAGCCCCAATATTTCCTTTTGTAAATCACTGGGATCTAGAGTTATATTTTGATGCCTGGCTCCCTGAACATGTTTGTTTTTAGAAAAGTATGTTTGTAGTGGTGAGGAGACCTATTATAAGGTACAGAATTGTATAAAATAGTGGTAACACTATAGTGACAATTAAAGCCTGATTGTACTCATAGGCTTGCTTTCTTTTTTTTTTTTTTTTTTTTTTGCTCTGAATGCCTTCAGGGCAGGTTTGGCTGGCTTGAGTTGTGGGGATCAAACCACAACAACCTGAGCCTGACTGCTTTGTTGAAGCAGCCACTTAAAGAACTGAGCTAAAGGGCAGGCCCCCTCCATAGGCTTTCAGTTTCATCTTTTATCTAAATAACTATGGTCTCTAGCATGCTTATTTGCGATTGATGCATGGTGTCTATCATGTGTTCCATCTTTTAAGCACTGTCTGTAGCTTTTGTGTAATTATCTGTAGAGTGAGCTCTCTGGAAAAGACAGATTGACAGAAGAGATAGCCACACCAGAGATCAGAAGTACTACTAAATAGACTATTTCAGCAATAATTAGGCCAGCAATTTGTTTTTGCTCCATGAATAAGATGAATAGCTAAGAACTCTGGGAAGTATGTTGTCAGAGTGTGAGACCAGGGTTTAGTTACATCAGCTTGTATCTACACTCTTGGCACAAGTCCTACAACCATTAAGCCTTTACCAATATCTTTTCCTGCTTAAGGTAAGCATTGTATATGTAGGGCAAGTTTGTTTTAGACTATAGTTCTGTAAAGGAAAACAAAAGCCACCATAGTAACGTCTTTAGTGGGGTGCATTTTCTCCCACAGTAAGGGAGGTTTCTAAGCTGTAGCATAGAATTGGTGTGCTAAGTCTTACACCTTCTCAGGTAAGTTTCCTTTAGGGAAGGTCTGTGTGGCCATCATGTTAATCCATTTTTTGTTTATGATACTACAATATCTTAGTACATGCCAAAAGCATCTTCAGACTCTGTGAGCACAGAGCTTCCAAATCTAGCTCGGAAGATATAAAAGTAGGACGTTTCAGTTTCCCAAGACACATGTAGGAATCAACATAGTTAGCATTCTCTGCAGCTGGGAGTAAGAAACATAAAAGATGTCTATGAAGAGATCACAGATACAGCAAGCTCTTAATGAAATGCCTTCAGATCACTTCAGGCCCTGGTCTTCTCACTTCTGTCCTGAAGGAAGATCATGAGTGAGGCTGGACTGTTTCAGTGTGGATATGATGGACAGAGGTGTAGTACCGTTCCTTTCTACACTAAAGGAGTAAGGTTTACCTTCACCTGCAACACCTCAGCATGGAAAAAGCTGTGCTGCCATCCCTGGAGCATTGCTCCTCCTTCCGATTATTCAGATCCAAACCCTCACCAGCCTTCCTTCC